GGGTAGGGAGTGTTAGCCACCAGGATAACCTGGGGTAGGGAGTGTTAGTCACCAGGATAACCTGGGGTAGGAAGTGTTAGCCACCAGGATAACCTGGGGTAGGGGGTGTTAGCCACCAGGATAACCTGGGGTAGGGGGTGTTAGCCACCAGGATAACCTGGGGTAGGGAGTGTTAGTCACCAGGATAACCTGGGGTAGGGAGCGTTAGCCACCAGGATAACCTGGGGTAGGGTGTGTTAGCCACCAGGATAACCTGGGGTAGGGAGTGTTAGCCACCAGGATAACACAAGAATGTCATGGATATCTGTCTTAGTTCTATTGTGGTTCTCCAATATCCTCCCCCAGGATGCCACCCACACAGTCCACTAACATCCATTTACCTATTTAACTGCTACGTGAACAACAATAGCAAGTGTAAAGTAACTAACACCTAGGTACCTGCTTACTGCTAGGTGAACAGTGACAGCAGATGTAAGGTTACTAACACCTAGGTACCTGCTTACTGCTAGGTGAACAATGACAGCAGGTGTAAGGTTACTAACACCCAGGTATCTGCTTACTGCTAGGTGAACAGTGACAGGAGGTGTAATACCTGGAGTATACCCGAAGAGAGTTCCGGGGGTCAACGCCCCTCCGGCACAGTCTGTGTCCATGCCTGTGTGCAGATCAGGGACCATTCCCTCCAGAATCTTCCAGGTGTAGATTATGATGTATCTTTCTCGCCTGCGGTCCAGTGAGTACAAGTTAAGTGCTTCCAAGCGTTCCCAGTAGTTAAGGTGTTTGATGGAACTTATACGTACAGTAAAGGTTCTCTGTACATTCTCTAGCTCTGCAATTTCACCTGTCTTGAATGGAGATGTTAATGTACAGCAATATTCCAGACAAGAGAGAACATGTGATTTAAAAAGGATCATCATTGGCTTAGCATCTCTTGTCTTGAATGTTCTCATTATCCATCCTATCAGTTTCCTCGCAGATGTGATAGTAGCATTATTGTGATCCTTGAAGGTGAGATCCTCAGACATTACCACTCCCAGGTCCTCCACATTACTTTTCCGCTCTGTTGTGTGATTGGAGTTCGTAGTATACTCAGTTCTAGCTATTATCTCCTCCAGTTTTTCCATGACGAAGTAGCTGGAATTTCTCTTCACTGAACATCATATTGTTCTCTGTTGCCCACTGGAAAACTTTGTTTATATCTTCTTGGAGCTTTGTCGTGTCCTCAATAGATGACACTCTCATGCAGATCCTTGAGAGTGTGTAACTATGTAGTGGAGGGAAGGCGGGGTAGGGGTCGGTCTAGGAAAAGTTAGAGGGAGGGGGTAAAGGAGGCTTTGTGTGCGAGGGGCTTGGACTTCCAGCAGGCATGCGTGAGCGTGTTAGATAGGAGTGAATGGAGACAAATGGTTTTTAGGACTTGACGTGCTGTTGGAGTGTGAGCAGGGTAATACCTATATAATGATAATAATAATAATAGTAATAACAATAATAATAATAATAATAATAATAATAATAATAATAATAATAATAACAATAATAATAATAATAATAATAATAATAATATCTTTATTTCTACAAGTACATGTACAAGGTATACAGACCATAGCTGACATCAATGACATAGTACTATATAGAAAGTCCCTTGTTATGCTGAGCATTTCTCGCAAATTAGGTCAGATTTGCCTCAGGATGTGACCCACACCAGTCCACTAACACCCAGGATGTGACCCACACCAGTCCACTAACACCCAGGATGCGACCCACACCAGTCCACTAACACCCAGGATGCGACCCACACCAGTCCACTAACACCCAGGATGCGACCCACACCAGTCCACTAACACCCAGGTACCTATTTTAAACTGATGGGTGAACAAGGACAGCAGGTGTCTTAAGGAAATACGTCCTAATGTCTTCCAGCCGTACCAGAGATTCGATCTCCGGACCTCAGTGTGTGAGCTGAGTGCTCTAGTGATCGAGCTACGGGACACCTAGAACACTTATGAAGGGATTCAGGGAAACCGGCAGACCGGACTTGAGTCCTGGAGGTGGGAAATACAGTGTCTGCACTCTGAAGGAGAAATGTTAATGTTACAGTTTTATAACTGTAGTGTTATATATATATATATATATATATATATTATATATATATATATATATATATATTATATATATATATATATATATTATATATATATTATATATATATATATATATATATACCAAGCATTTTCGTGACTTCTCACATCATCAAGGAACTGTAAAAATAAAAGATCATCTGGAAGGCATATAAGGCTTATTTATTCTGTGATATAATTTATATATGGATCAGTAGGGTTTAATCCACTAATTGGCGATTAACTCTCCTTCCTTGGATTCTAAACTCTCAGGGCCAGAACTGGTCATCATAGTCGTTCTCGTAGCCAAAACGACCTCCGTGCTGCAGGCCGAAGAGCGGAAATCTGATAACTAATGTAACAGGACTGTCATTTCTGACTGGCAGTTCTTGAGAGTGTATAGTCTCTGATTGGCTAGTGGGAGGGACCTCTATGCTCTTGGCAATTGGCGTAGGGGCTGAGAGATGGGGGAGGGTCTGATTGTTCAAGGGGTCTGATATTCCGCCAGTGGCTATTGGCGTCTCAGGTCCTGGTTCTTCAGGGCTGACTTGTGTACTTCTTGCAGATACCATTGTGGTCTCAGTGCTGGTAGATGGTGCTGGTAGACTGGCAGTTCTCACCATCCCAGATGGTGGTGACGCTGACGTAGCTTCTGGAGACTTCTTAGAGAGTAATTCAAGAGGTTTGACTGGATCACCTGAGGTTTCAGCTGAGGTTACAGGTGATGGAGCACCTCCTTCAAGGTCTTTCCTGCCAGGGACTTCAATGTCCTCCAATAGCGTTCCGGAAGGTGCTAGATCACTCTCTAAAAGTATTCCAGGTGTTGGATCACTCTCTAAGACCACTCCAGAAGGTGTTGGATCACTCTCTATGACTACTCCAGAAGGTGTTGGATCACTCTCTATGACTACTCCAGGTGTTGGATCACTCTCTAAAACCACTCCAGAAGGTGCTGGATCACTCTCTATGACTACTCCAGAAGGTGTTGGATCACTCTCTATGACTACTCCAGAAGGTGTTGGATCACTCTCTAGGACCACTCCAGAAGGTGCTGGATCACTCTCTAAGACCACTCCAGAAGGTGTTGGATCACTCTCTATGACTACTCCAGAAGGTGTTGGATCACTCTCTATGACTACTCCAGAAGGTGTTGGATCACTCTCTATGACTACTCCAGAAGGTGTTGGATCACTCTCTATGACTACTCCAGAAGGTGTTGGATCACTCTCTAAGACCACTCCAGAAGGTGCTGGATCACTCTCTATGACTACTCCAGAAGGTGTTGGATCACTCTCTATGACTACTCCAGAAGGTGTTGGATCACTCTCTATGACTACTCCAGAAGGTGTTGGATCACTCTCTATGACTACTCCAGAAGGTGTTGGATCACTCTCTAAGACCACTCCAGAAGGTGTTGGATCACTTTCTAAGACTACTCCAAAAGGTGTTGGATCACTCACTAAGACCACTCCAGAAGGTGTTGGATCACTCTCTATGAGCACTCCAGGTAGTGGATCACTCTCTAAGACCACTCCAGAAGATGTTGGATCACTCTCTAAGACCACTTCAGAATGTGGGGGATCACTCTCTATAAGCACTCCAGGTGATGGATCACTCTCTAAGACCATTCCAGAAAGTGTTGGATCACTCTCTAAGACCATTCCAGAAAGTGTTGGATCACTCTCTATGAGCACTCCAGGTGACGGATCACTCTCTAAGACCACTCCAGAAGATGCTGGATCACTCTCTAAGACCACTTCAGAATGTGGGGGATCACTCTCTATAAGCACTCCAGGTGATGGATCACTCTCTAAGACCACTCCAGAAAGTGTTGGATCACTCTCTATGAGCACTCCAGGTGATGGATTACTCTCTAAGACCACTCCAGAAGATGTTGGATCACTCTCTAAGACCACTTCAGAATGTGGGGGATCACTCTCTATAAGCTCTCCAGGTGATGGATCACTCTCTAAGACCACTCCAGAAGGTGTTGGATCACCCTCTATGAGCACTCCAGGTGTTGGATCACTCTCTAAGACCACTCCAGAAGGTGATGGATCACCCTCTATAAGCACTCCAGGTGTTGGATCACTCTCTAAGAGCACTTCAGAATGTGTTGGATCACTCTCTATTAACACTCCAGGTGTTGGATCACTCTCTAAGAGCACTCCAGGTGATGGATCACTCTCTAAGGCCACTCCAGAAGGTGTTGGATCACTCTCTATGAACACTCCAGGTGATGGATCACTCTCTAAAACCACTTCAAAAGGTGTTGGATCATTTTCTAAGACCACTCCAGATGTTGGATCACTCTCAAAGAGCATTTCAAGTGTTGGATCACTCTCTGAGAGCATTCCATGTGGTGGATCACTTTCTAAGAGCATTCCAGGTGTTGGATCACTCTCTAAGAGCATTCCAGGTGATGGATCACTCTCTAAAACCACTTCAAAAGGTGTTGGATCACTTTCTAAGACTACTCCAGATGTTGGATCACTCTCAAAGAGCATTTCAAGTGTTGGATCACTCTCTGAGAGCATTCCATGTGATGGATCACTCTCAAAGAGCATTTCAAGTGTTGGATCATTCTCTGAGAGCATTCCATGTGATGGATCACTTTCTAAGAGCATTCCAGGTGATGGATCACTCTCTAAGAGCATTCCAGGTGATGGATCGCTCTCTAAGTGCATTCCAGGTGATGGATCACTCTCTAAGAGCACTCCAGGTGATAGATCACTCTTTAAGAGCATTCCAGATGTTGCATCAATTTCTAAGAGGATCCCAAGTGTTGGATCACTTTCTGAGAGCACCCCAGGTGATGGATCACTCTCTAAGAATATCCCAGGTGTTGGATCTTTCCCAGTGGCCTCTTGTTCCACGGGTACTGCTCCTATATCCACCAAGTCAGGTACCACTGCTTGTTCCTCTTCCAAAGGTGCCTCGTTTGCAGTCGATTCATGCAGTTCCAATGGTGCAGGCAGATGCTCGTTCTCTGAAGGTACTCGAGACGCGACTGCTGGATTATTCACCACTGTGACCCAGTGTACACTTTCAGACTGGTCCACAGGTGTAGATGAGAGGATTAATTCCAATGGTACTGTATAGTAGACGCCATTTCAACATCCAATGGAGCCACATGTTCAGTTTCAGCTACAGGTCCCTCCTCGAATGGGACCAAAGGCTCTGGGTTAACCTCCAATGGGACCTGAGTACCATCGAGTACCAATGGTTCTTGAGTTTGCTGCAATAGCTCTTCAGGTGGAAGGAATGGATTTGATTCCAGTGGTACCTCAAGGGTGAGTATTGGACTAGAACCCAATGGTATATCTTGTGTTAGCACCAGGTTCTGTTGGCTGGGTTGTTCAGGTACCATTCGAGGATCTTCCTGCATTGGTACATTGGTTGGAGGATTTGGATCAAGCTCAGGAAGGATTTCTGTTCCAGGTTGAGGATTCAAGTCAACAGGAATAACTACTTCTGTTGCTTCTGTTGCTGTTGTTGCTATATCTCTTATTGCTGCTGCTGTTGTTATTTCTGTTGTTGCTGGTGTTGCATCAGTTGTTGGTGGCGTTGCTTCCGTTGTTACTGCAGTTACACCTGTTTCTCTAATCCAAGAGTTGTCAGGGAGGGAGGGACCTCCTGATGTGGATGTCCCAATATCTATTACGGTCTCTGGTTTGTGGTCGAAATGAAATCCAGTTGCTGGAACAGATTCCAGAGATATTCTAGCAGGTGTTGAGTTATCTTCCGACAGTGTTCTAGCAGGTGTTGAGTCATCCCCAGGGGGTGTTCCGGCAAGTGCTGTGTAGTTCTCCTCTTCTTGGTCCAAGCCTTCAGTTTCCACTGGAATGTGTTGTGATTCATCGGCAAATGACATTGCTAAGAGTGGAGTTGGATCACTGTCAGTGATCCTAGGAAAGAAGGAACTGCTGTCTGCCGCATGATCTTCTGCTTCTGCTCCTGCTTCGTTCCCAACTTCCACTCCAGAGGCTCCGTCAGTGGCCTTTGACGTGCCGGAAGCAATTGCTTGCTGTAGCTTCAAAGATCCATTTCCAGTAGGTCCAGGTTCTCTCTTAGACGCGAGTAAGACCTCTTCTTCACCATCCAGGAAGTCAGGATATGTTTTTGGACCTTGGACCAGTTCTGGGGGAAAGAAGTCAATGATGTCATCCGGGTCTGGGAAGATCTCTCTGTCGATGTAGTTCTGATTGTAGAACAAGACAGGTACTGCGTCAGACAACAATGCAGTCACTAACACTATCTGCAAAGATGATGCAATTATTAGAACTTTGGTAAATACAAACATAATTAGAAATAAAATATGTAGGTATATTTTAATTGTAGAGATAGGTATATGTGTATGTGGTCTGTGACGGTGCTATGTACCCTGCACACACACATACACATTGAGTCACCATATAGATGGAACAGAAATTTGGTGAAGATCGGAGTAAGACATCACACATCCAGGAAGCATCTAGACAGCCACTACGCTGCCAGACGCAAGTAGCACCTATTTTTGTGGTTGCATTTTTTCCAGGTCAATAGACTAGGTATCCTGCCATAGCTGAAAGTTAAGGTTCCACTCATTCTAGAGAGCCTAGAGGCTAGTCCTGAGAGTTAGAAATGAAGTTATAATCAATCAGTAAGGAAGAGTATCTGGTATCCAGCAACAGTCACAAGTGTGCACTAGAAGTGGAGTTAGCCATCAAGGTTCAACAATACCCTAGACAGGGAATATTTAATACTAGAATATACAGCTAGGAATACTTTAACAGCCAAAGAGTGAAGTAAGGAAGGAAGGTTAGAAAACTAGCAAGAGCGGTGCACATAAGCCCTCAGCTCTCACCCATACATATATACACATATACAGACAAAGGTAACTTAATGTAGTATATCAGCTACGGTCTGCATAAGTTGTATAATGTACTTGTAAAAATAAATATTTAAAGTAAAAGGACACAAGCGCAACTAATGTGACATTTTTATTGTGGCAACGTTTCGCTCTCCAGGAGCTTTGTCAAGCTGTTACAAACAGTACATGCATGTATGTATAATGTTGGCCAAGACCAGGGTCTTGGCACGGGTCTTAATCTTGAGATGACCCGTCTCTGGCTCCTGAAGGAGAATTGATTCCTCATTGTTGCAGCATATGCTGCTCAAGCACTGTTCCGGGCAGTTCAGCTAGTGTGTCTCATAAGCAACCATGATTTGGTACTGAGGTTACTCCATCTCGGCTGTTTCCTGAGCTGGGGACTGGGCTCTGTCTGCTCTGATAATCTGCAGATTCATGGCATCCACTGTCTCCTCCTCTGTCAGTAAGCACACCCTCAGGAGTGTGTGCTGACCATCTGCCGGAACATGCTCTGTTGTTCCGTGGAGGTGATTGTGTAGCAGATAATATCCGTGAATGCCTTGATGAGTGTTAAGAGATCCTCTCTGTTGAGAGCCTGCGTTGTCGGTGGGTTCGAAGCAGTGGATATTATCTGGGCTGTTGTAATCTGTGGGGACTGCTGAGGGTTGTATTTCTTCTCTGTGCACACCGTGGCCTGCTACTGTATGCCAAGTTGTGTACCCTGCATCTGCTGGTTAGGTGCAGGCACAGCCTGCATAGTGGCTGTGTCGGGCAAGGAGTATCTGTGTTGCTGTGATATCGCCGGTGGGGGCTCGTGTAGTGCCGTCTGCTGATTGCGTTGCCCAGATGTTTCCTGTTGGCGCCGCTTGTTCCTCATGTTTTTGTTTCTTCGTTGCGGTAGTGGGGGAGAATGTTCCTGTTCATGACGCCTAGTTGAGTCTTCAAGGGTCGGAAATTCCTGGGCATTGAGTTGGGTTGCCTGATGAGAGTTCTGCAGTATGGCAGTATTCTCTGCACCCATCGTCTGCTGAGGGTGATGCTCTGTAGCCTGCTGCCTCGTTATTGGCGTCTTCCAAGCCTCACGAATTCTAGTGAGCCTCTCGGGGCATCGAGAGTTCCAGGCATGGTGTTTCTGCCTGCAATTCGGGCATCGTGGAGTGGGTGGCGATGCATTCCTCGGTAGGGTGGGACTGGCTGCAGACACCGCAGATTACTCTGTTCAGACAGATTGCTCTCAGGTGTCCGTAACGCTGGCACTTGAAACAGTGAACTGATTCTGCCTTGAAGGTCCTGACATCGTACCTGTCCCAAGAACTGGGTACATGGACACAGAAGGTATATATAGGCTCAGAGTGAGGTGTAATACCAGCGGTAGTAGTAGTAGTAGTAAAGACATAAGTTGTAGTAGTAGTAGTAATACAATATGGTAGAACAATTAACTTGCACACGAGTAAAAGGATATATAAGCTATTACTTGTGTAACATAAAAATAGGTTAGACAAATATTTATATTGGAGACTGGATATAGAAGGTCTGTTACAATGTTCATTCTCTGTAATGTGCTTGTGTAGTAGGAGAGACTATGTGATGGCAGGGTTTACTGCTTTCAGCAGGAGTCTTGTTAAGACTTCAGAGATGGTGAAGCTGCCTTTGTATTGTTTAATTGTTCAAGTTGTCGTTCCTACATGCGTAAATGTGCTCATTGAGGCGGGTGTCGAGGTTTCTTGCTGTGTCACCTACATAAATCTTGTCGCAGCCTCCACAGAACAAGAACAAGTCCTTTGTTCACCAATAGGTGAAGAGAGACCAAAACTAAGCACAATAGAGAATGAAAAAAGTAAAGAAGACAAAGGACCCTGGAAAATAAAGAGATTAGTTGAAGAGCCAAAAACGAATATGCACAGATAAGGAAGGAGGGTCAGCGACAATATGAAAATAACATAGCATCGAAAGTCAAGTCTGATCTGAAACTGTCGTTCTTACACAACAGGAGGAAAACAACAGTCAAGGACCAGGTAATCAGGCTGAGGAAGGAAGGAGGAGAGATCACAAGAAACCACAGAGAAGTATGTGAAGAGCTCAACATGAGATTTAAAGAAGTATTTACATTGAAATTAAGACACATGTGCAACATCTGGGTATCCTTACTGTAGACGTTTCGCCATCCAGTGGCTTTATCAACACAAATTCCAGGACATAACTTGAAGACAGTAGAACTATGTACAGAAGATGAGGTAATCAGTCTCTCAACCTAGGAGTAGGTGCGAAGATTCTGAAGCAGAAGCAAGGAGCCTGGCGCTTATATAGTAACGTCAGGAGTAGCAGACGAGGGCATAGTCACTGGTAGGCGGGATTCCCCATTCTTGCACAAGTATTTGCATTGGAGACAGAAAGGATTCCCGAAAGCCACAAGTGCTGGACACAATACACACAACCAAGGAGGAAGTGAAGAGGCAGCTAAATGAAATAGATACCTCAAAGGCAGTGGGACCAGACAACATCTCTCTGTGGGTCCTGAGAAAGAGAGAGAGGAGCAGAGACACTGTGTGTGCCACTAACAACAATCTTCATCACATCCATTGAAGCTGCACAACTACCTGAAGTGTGGAAGATGGCAAATGTAATCCCACTTTTTAAGAAAGGAGATAGACACATGACATTAGACTACAGGTGTCCCATGGCTCGATCGCTTGCACACTCAGCTCACACACTGAGGTCTTGAGTTCGAATCTCCTCCAGTACGGCTGGAAAACGTTGGGGATATATTTCCATAAGGCATCTGCTGTCCCTGTCCCTGTTCACCCATCAGTTTAAAATGGGTACCTGGGTGTTAGTGGACTGGTGTGGGTCGCATCCTGGGACAAAACTAACCTAATTTGAGCGAAATGTTCAGCATAACAAGCGGCTTTCTATACAGTAGTACGTCATTGATGTCAACTAGTCCTGTATAACATGTACACGTACTTGAAGTAAATGAAGATATTATTATATTATATTGTTATATTACAGACTAGTGTCACTAACATGTATAGTATGCTAAGTCATGTAGAAGGTTATCAGGAGGAGAGTGGTGGAGCACCTGCAAAGGAACAAACTTATACACGACAACCAGCACGGTTTCAGGGAAAGGAAGGCCTGCATTACAAACCTACTGGAGTTTTATGACAAGGTAACGGAAGTAAGACAAGAGAGAGACAGAGGGTTGGTAGACTGCATTTTCTTGGACTACAAGAAGGCTTTTGACACAGTTTCACACAAGAGATCAGTGCAAAAACTAGAGGATCAGGCAGGTATAACAGGAAAGGCACTGCAGTAGATCAGAGAATACCTGACAGGAAGGCAACAACGAGTCAATCGTGACGAGGTGTCAGAGTGGGCGCCTGTGAGGAGCGGGGTTCCACAGAGGTCAGCCCTAGGACCGGTGCTGTTTCTGGTATGTGGTAAAAATATGGCAGAAGGGATAGATTCAGATGTGTCTCTCTTTGCAGGCGATGCAAAACTAAGGAGAATTCATTTGGATGAGAATCAGGTAGGACTATAAAGGTACCTCGATAGGCCGCAGGCCTGGTCCAGCAACTGGCTCCTGGAGTTCAACCCCACCAAGTGCAAAGTCATGACTATCATGGAAGGGCAAAGAAGACTGCAGACAAAGTATAGGCTAGGGGGCCAAAGACTCGCTCAAGGGAAAAGGTGAGTATGATACCGAGCACATCCCCTGAGGCGCACATCGGCCAAATAACTGCTGCAGCATATGGGCGCCTGACAAATCTAAGACAAGCATTCCAAAACCTTAGCAATCGTTCAAGACACTGAACACCGTGTACGTCAGGCCCATATTAGAGTATGCGGCACCAATTTGGAATCCACACCTAGGCAAGCACGTCAAGAAATTAGAAAAGTGCAAAGGTTTGCAACAAGACTAGTCCTGGAGCAAACAGGACTGCCCTACGAGGAAAGGTTAAAAGAAATCGACCTGACGACACAAGAGGACAGGAGGGATGGAGGGACATAAGGACATATTACATACTGCAAGGAATTGACAAGGTGGACAGAGACAGAATGTTCCAGAGATGGGACACAGCAACAAGCGGTCACAATTGGAAGTTGAAGACTCAGATGAGTCATGTGGATGTTAGGAAGTGTTTCTTCAGTCATAGAGTTGTCAAGAAGTGGAATAGTCTGGAAAGTGACGTAGTGGAGGCAGGATCCATACATAGTTTTACGAAGATGTATGATACAGCTCATGGAGCAGATAGACACAGGACCAAGTAGCGACCAGTGAGGAGGCAGGGACAGGAGCTGAGTATCGACCCCTGCAACCACAATTAAGTGAGTACAGTTAGGTGAATACACACACACACACACACATGAGACAGAAGAGTGTTGGACTGTCAATTTATAGGTCG